TCATATATACCTTGTTATTCAGGAGTTTTCATTTATAATAAATAACAATAAAGTGAACTTTATGGAATTCCTCCAAGGACTTAACCAAGAATTGAATTGATGTTAACTCCTTTTCTTGGTCACTTTGTGAACAGAAAATATTCAGCAAATTTCATAGGTGGCAATTGCTTCTTCTTCAGCATATACTCTGATTAAAAAAAAAGGAAATAGAATATAGAAAATATCCTAGCAAGATTTATTTCAACATCCATACACAAAAAATCTTTTTTTGTTTTAGGTTATACATTTTTTTTAAGCATGAGCATTTGTTATGGATCTTCTTTTTGCTTCAAAAGTTATGACTTGCTTGACTTGTTTTTTTTTCTTCTTCTTTTATTATTTATTGTGTATATGCATTTATTTTGAGTTGCCACATTTGTGCCAAATTGGGAGTATATAAGCAATTAATAGAGAGATAAATTTTCTTATTAGTACCTATATACAGTCAGATATTTCCACTTTAAGGAAGATACTTTCTATATTTTTTATTGCATTAAAAATTTGGGCCCTTAATTTCTGAAGGTTTTGCTCAAAAAAACTAATGCAATAATAATACCAATTATATTAGAATTTAGACATTCTCTGACTATTTCTACTTATATTATTGGGCAAATCTAATACTGATTTTTCAAAATATTTCTGATTTATATTTAGTTTCAAAGATTATCATTACATTTTAAGTACACACACACACGCACACACACACACACACACACACATACATATATATGTGTGTGTGCTCTATAGCCCTGGATGGCAACTGGTCTAGAAGAAGGACGACTCTGAATTCAAAACCTGTGGAAAATTGTTTGGGGACCTCATGGAATGTAGTGCAACAGGTCTCTGTATTTAGCCCTCCTAAAAGTGTGGTCAGTTCTGCACAAAGCTTTCACCACTATAATCAAATCATATGTGCTGGTGTGTGGCTGTCGGTTCCTAGGAACTGAGTTGCTGACCCTTATACGTTGAATATGATGGACATTTTCTCACATCAATCCAACTAAATATATATATATGTATGTACATATATCCAAGTAAAATGAAAACCAATGGAGGATAAATGCACTGTATTTAACATTTATTTTAAAAGAGGGCTCAGTACAGAGTAGAGCTAAATATTATTTATTTTAGGATAGTAAAACATGTTAAAATTTGCTACATAATGGCAATTATGTTCCAACACTACAAATGTGTCTCATCTTGTCTCTTTAAACTACTGGTGAGTGAAAGATTAATTTTATTTCAAAAGCAGAATGCTTTAAAAAAAATGACTTTGCCATCTTTATTTAATGAAATGTGACCTATGCTAAATGCAAATTCACCGGAAAAATTTTTTTTTAATATCGGTCATGATACAAAGTTCTCTGCATAATATTCTTGACAATTTCCTTATGGAAAGATACATGTTGTTACATTGTTTCATAAAATGTATCAAAGTCTAACGTTCAACTTTCCTAAGAAGTAAAAACGAAAGAGGTGGGAAGCTACAAAATTTTATGTAAGAAGCTGAACGAACATATAAGTAGTTAGCATTATGTTAAATTATGTCCTCACCTCTATTGCTTTACTTCTTAGGAAAGTTGAACATCAGACTTCAGAAGATGAAATAATGTAACAACCTGTATCTGCCCATAAGAAAATTGTCTTAGAAGCAAGCAGGAAGCCAATATCATATATATATATATATATATATATATATATATATATATATATAAATTTATTTTAAATAGAAAACAGACAATCTTAAGGGTCCATTGTCTATAATTTATTTCCCCAGGTAAATGGTTTTTACCTGGTTCATCAGACTGCACTTCCAAGGGTGAAAAAATGTTTTAAATTTACATATAGTTTTTATAGACTTTTGAGAGATAGTTTTAAGTTGATGTAAGGTGATATATAGAGAGAGGGAGGAGGAGTATGACAAGCATGGACAAAATTAGAGAGGGAAGGGGAGATAGGAATAATCTTAAATGTATTTTTATTAAGATATTTAAGAATAAGGAAGGTGGGTAAGGACTAGACATTGACCTATTTAATAAGTCATCTCACAGAAAATGAGATAAAGAAAAAAAAGAGAAGTAAAGATATAAGAAAGCAGAGGTGGAAGTAGGGGTTTGAGAAAGAATGTATCTCTCTTTTGAGGAAGAACGTATCTCTCCCTTCCCTCTCTAATTTCGACCATGTCTGTCATACTCCTCCTCCTCCTCTTTCTATATCACCTTGCATCAACTTAAAACTACCCCTCAAATGTGTGGTCTGATGAACCAGGTAAAAACCATATACCACTCCTTGGAATTATCCATATGGATTACCAAACTTTTCATTACTTAACTATATATATATATATATATATATATATATATATAGTGTATTTAGACAGCAATCTCTCTTTTATACATGATAAATTTAGATCAATCATCAATGATGTCTTGTAACTTTTTATGGTAATTGGCTTTGTACAAACTTATATATGCATTGGCTTTTTTATCATAAAGAAATATACAACTCCAGTTGACCTGAACAAGAAAATTAAATTAATTATCTATTACAAAAAATTTAAAACAGCTAACCTTAACATAAAGAATAACTACACCCCTGCCAAATCAAAACTACAAAAGACCAACATTATTTATGGGTTCAAATGCTCCTTAAGGAACTGTGTTCCTGATCAAACCAAACTCATAAATAATTACATTGGCCAAACTACTACATGCCTATCTAGACGACTTATGTTACACCTACCCAACCTAAAGTCCATTGGGACTCATTTAAACACACATAAAAACCTATCAGACTCCATTGGAAACATACTCATAGAAAATATAAGTATAATAACTTCATTCCCATGTAAATATTTAAAATTTTTGTAGCCCTAATAATAAAAAAAGGAAAAGCCAACACTCAGTAACATTAACTATGAACATGGCCATGATGTGCTAACCATGTTCAGAAAAATCAAACATTCCTATAATTTTAAACACATACATAACAACTCACATATTTAGTTAAAAATTAAAAAAAATCACCCTTTATAGAGTCAGATTAGGAAGATAAATAATTTTAAGTACATTGCAACTGGCAACATCATAGCATTAAAATAAATTAAATATTAAGGAATTTGGTACAAAACATTTTTATGTGTTGTACCTTTTGAATATTTGAGTTCAGCTCTTTTATGAGTTAAGGTCAATTTTATGAGGGTTTATTAATGCTTTTTAAAGCATTCAGAACTCTGTTAGTTTATGATAACTTTTCAGAAGAAATAAAAATGCCATGCTTTTAAAACTTGCTATTTTGTTCTGGATTTAGTGCTTCTTGGCTTTGTCTTTTTGATTTGCTAGAACAAATTTTGATACACAAAAAACTTGGGATTTTGCATTTTTTTAATGATGATTGGAATGAAACTTATTATCATCATTATTATGTTCTCTTCACAAAAGGTTTTTGTAAATTTCATGGAAGATACTATGACAACAAATCTCCTACTCTTTGTTTTGGCAATTTTACCATATTAAGCAGTACAGTGGTTTGTACTCTCTTTTTTTATCCAGTTTCATATTTAATATTCTCATTTTCTCTTTGGAGTCCAAGAGATAACTGAAAGTTCTCTAATAAATAAATTACAAAAATGTTGGAACTCTTGAGCAAGATCTTGAATTTGTTTAATTTAAGTTTATTCTTTGGCTCGTAGCAATTATTACAGTCTTAGATTTTTAATAATAATCAGGTTAGGTTTCCATGCTTGGCTTGGATAGCAATTCTTTATAATTGGTATTGTGTACACTTTATTTACTCCATTACCTTTTGTATTTGTTAGTACACATTTAAATTAGATGCATGTTTAGTGATTTCTTTCACTGAAGTTAATTACATTCATTTCAATTTTTAATATAACCTTTAGGTTCATAAACAATGGACAATGATGTAAATATTTAATAAACCTTAGTCAATCTAAGCATTTGTATCATTATTAAGTGTTTGCTCATTATTACTTCAAAGAGAATTGAAATTATTTAGTCTGGGTTGTGTTATACGAAAAAATGTAAGGAGTTACATAATACATGGTTAAGAAAAGATTATTTTTTTCAATAAAAGAAAAAGAAAAAATCAGTCCAATGAAGAAATAACAAAATTGATAATGGTCAGTAAGCTTTGTTATAGTTTATAGTTGCTGAGGAGCTCCTATTCATAAATGCAAGAGAATATCCAAGATGAAACTACAAACATGAAATAAAAAAAAATTAAAAGAAATGTTTATTACCTTTTTATATCTCTTAGGCTCAAAAGTAGTTTTAAAAATGCCTGCAATTAACTAAATCAAGAACAAAACCATAGACATGATATGAACTCACTGTCTTCAGTGTTTTCATTGCTAAATCCTTTGAAAAATATTTATGGCTAAGACTTATCTTATCTCAATAGTTTCCTTCTTACTTATGTGTTATGTTAGTTTTATTATTTATAGTTTATCATTTTATTGTTCACTGAAAGAATATTTGTTATTCAAGGACAAAGCAATGAAAGTTCAGCAGAGTTAATGTGGTTCATATTCTGGATGCAAGTAGTTCAAAAGACTATTCTTATATTGTTACTAGTTAAATGTACTTGAGATAGTAAAAATTAGTTAGCAAAATATTTTTATAAGTTATTTAAGGGTTGAATATAATAATCTTGTGTTCAAAGGCAAACTCGTTTGGAACAGAAAAATTAAGATGAGATTCCCAATAGAACAAAACTGTCTAATAAGCCAAAACTATTTTGCAAATTTTGTTCAGAAAATTAATCAAATTCTAAATTCAGTAGAAAAATTTTATATTTTTCCATGTGAAACAGAATTTTAATATAGTAATTACAATGAATATAGCAAGTTTTCTAGCATTATCTCTCACAGTTTTCTTTTACAAAGTTTAACCAATTTTTAATTTATAATTTATTATTTGAATAATTATTTTCTCTTGCAGAAAGCCAGACTGGCTCGTATTCGGATGGCTAAAAATGCTAGTGGTGCCGCTTTTATTACAAGTAAGAAACGGGCTGAAGAAGTTGTCTTGGCTAGAGAAAGTGGACTTGAAGTTGATGATTATAAGGAAGATATTTTTGAACTTCAGCACCACCATCTACTGACCTGTCTAGAAAAGACCACAGTAAGTAATCAAAATTTTATTAAATTTAAAAAAAAATTGAATAACATTCTTGGTTTTCAAATTCATTTCATTAAATTTAATTATTTCATTATTTCTTTTACAGATATATTTATGTTCCTTGTATAAATATTATTACATCCTTATATTTTTACAGGTATCTTTTAAGTAAATTAAGTATATATATATATATATATATATATATATATATATATATATATATATATATATATATATATATATGTGTGTGTATCCGTAATTCAATGACATCTTATTGAATATGCTAACTGGATTGCTCCAGTTAGTGTTACTCTTTTGTCACAAAGACTCCAAAATTCAAAATTAATTGTTTTTTCAATATGTATAATATTGCAAATTCAATAAGATTCAATAGACTGTAAGAGGTTTGGACCAATTTTTCTTATCTTGTTTTAATTTTATTCATAAACAGAACCATATGATAAAGCTTGATGTGAATTGTATAGGATTACTTATTTACACAGTATTTTGGGAAGTTCTCTGAGATTTCCTTACAGGTAAAAGAAATGTGCCTATAAGTGGTAACTCATCACATTAGGAAGGAGTGTAGATATTTTTTGAGTATTTTCTAGCTTCTTGAGCAAAGTTCTCTTCTGTTTCGTCAATAATAAAACATGTCTTCTACTTCTTAACTGGTTTAAAGGTTATAACAATTCTGAAAAACTCTCCCTCTTTAATATCTTCCTGTCACCTGAACTGAGTAATGATTAGCCTTATAACTTCTATTGTAGCAAAAGTTCTTTATGTTCAAACAAGTATCTGAGAATCTTAAACAAGCATACACTTGTCTAGATGCCAATGATATTTAGTTTTTTCTTTCTTATTTAAACATCTCTATTAGGATGTTGGAAGAAGAATTATCAGTGTAACATTATGCGCACATTTCTAATACCATCATTCAAATGAGGAGTTCTAGTATGAATATCATGGTCAATGTAAAAATAACCTTGTCATACTTTGAAGGAACTATGTCAAGTTTTATTAGTTCCTCTGTTAAAAAGCATCTAACAATCTAGAGACACACTGACAGCTTTCTAATGTAACCATGCAATACATTAGTCTCTGGGAGAGGACACTGGTAGATTTGGCTATCAAATGTCTTCCCTAGCAGAAAAGCAGTTTCAATGTTCATTGATTTAAAAACCAATCTATTTGAGGACATTATTCCCATGGCAATCAGAAGTCCTTCCTAGGGAATCACTTTTAATGTTGTCTGCTTCAATTATGAAAGCCTTTTGTTATTAGGCTTGCCTTAATAATTGTGTTTCCAGAAGAGTCTTTATTTGTACAAATCCATTATATATGTATTTTTAGCTGACACTGATCATGAACTTGTTCATATATTTAATATTCAGTCCAGTTATGTATATTTTTCTTTTCCTCCTGTAATTAATGAACTTTACATACTAACATCACATCTTCACTATCAGATGCCTGTTCTATGCCATTTATCTTCAATTGTGAGACTCCCTGTTCAAAGTCCAACTAAAAGGACTCACTATGATGATCCACTTTTGTTGGAACTAAGATTTTACATTTTCTATATCTAGACCTAGGTGAAGCTGTTTCCAGTTATGTAATTAATTAGGAAATGAATTAAAAAGAAATATACCTTTTCATATGCTTTATTCAACTATAAAAAATGCCTACAGAATTTTACTAGTTACTTCGGCAAAGGGCAAATAATTTATTAATTTCCAGTCAAAGGGAGACAATTATGTGACACCTTCACCCTGGCTAATTGATGTTACCACCCATATGTTTAGGGAGCACGACTCTCTCTGAGACAGTCAAAGAGTGGGTTTTTCCATGTTAATGGTATTAGGAAACTGTTCTCCATACTTGGGTGGAATGTTGGTACTGTTTGGTTGGTACTCCAACAGAACCATTTCCAGTGACTTGCAGTGCATGCCCTTGTGAGGGGTTCTGAGATGTTGGTTCTTGTGAGGAGTTCTGTTCTGCTTCTGTTCCATTCTCTCCTCCCTTATGTATTTGTGAAGAGCAAGGAGCCAGATCTGATAAGGAGACTGATGATTACTGCCCATCCATCCTTCCCATATTTAATGTGTGCATATATTGGATTCACATCCAATAGTTCTACTTCTTGGACCAAAGGATCATTCTTTGAATTGCTTACAAACTGACACAAAATGTCTGGTCCAAGATTTAATAACCATGATTGAAAAGATATGTCTATGAACAATTGCTGGAAAAATTAAACTAATTTCTCACGAAGTGTGGCATTTGTTGCAGTTGACAGCATAGGTTTGATGCTATGATGCTATGTATAGCTTTTCATGTTATCCCATTGTACCTTTTAACTTGGGTATTGCCTTATAATAGGAGAGAGCCTTGAAGAAAGGTTTATTATCTCATTTGTATTTTCCCCATTAAGGGCATTATTATATCTGTGATAAAATAACACTGTAGTTCATGGATGGAACAAAATGGCTGAAACATGCTTTTTTCTCAGAGAGATGTTTATACTGATAAGCCATACACAAAAATATATATACATATATACAAGTTTCCCATGTGGAAAACCATATATCATATATCTACAGAGCAAGTAGAGTTTAAGGAGAAACAAAAAGGAAGAGTTTTACATATAACATGGCGATACTTCTGTGTCTGGAGAAGCCATGGTTAGGGCTCCAGATTCAAATAGGCCAGGTATATCTACTATGTTCCAGGTGAGGATATATTCTACAAAGGGGAAATGGTGAATCTTGGGTTTTCCCAAATTGAGGACTGCAAGCTGGAATTTCTTTCTATATCTGGGAAAAATATATTCCCAAAAGGAAATAGCACCATGGATGTGGGGAGCCTGAGCTAAAGAAAGCAACCTCTCAGTTTGGATACTGTAAACAAACTAAATGATTGGCCACTCTCATTACTGTCTGGAGTGATGTTACTAAGTGCCATTATGTGACCCACATGCCTTATCTTCACCAAAGAGAGATAGGCACATGCTGTATCCCTATACCATTGTGGGTGATAAGGGGTTGTCTTACTAGTGGCAACTCTTTGCTGAAGAAGATATTCCTTGACATCACAAGCTAAGAACTCTAGCACCCTGTCTGAGTAGCGGCCATTAGGTGCTCCACATAAGGGAAATATTAATTCAAATATTGAATGATATTGATGGAATGGAAAATAGAAAATGTGAAAATTCTTCTATTGCAACAATTTATTAGCTGTCCTTGATGGTAAAGGTCCACATTTATTTGTTCTAAAGGTTGAGTATCTTTAATAAGCTTGACTTGAGACACACAGTAGAAAATCAAGGTTTCAACTCAGCACATATCTGACAAGATGAACGCACATCTTTTACTTCATCAGTGTAGAAGGGCAAATTTTTTGTAATTTTTTTTAGGGATATAGCAAAAGAAGTATTATAGGAAGTTCTACTTAATGTATCAGCAACCATCATGAAGTCAACCAAATAGCCTCTTTCTCAATAGCAGGATAGTGTAATTCCTGATGATTTAAGGTTTGCAACATAAATGCGACTGGTGATCCAAATTGGTTTAATGAGGCTAATATGACAACTTCTGAAGCATCACATTCTATCATGTATGTTATCTGGGTAGTGAAATGCAGTAACTGCTTCAAGGTTGTGAAATGCTTTGCATGCTCTATCATCCATTGAACAACTCTTGATTAAATGTTGGGCATGGTCTGAAAAGTGAGGAATCCATCTAGCATAATATGAAAACTCTTTTGAGGTCAGTTGTCTCGGTTGGCACTTGGAGATCGAAGAGTTGCTGCAGTCTAGATCCATCTGGTTAGACTAGACCCTTGTTGATTTTGTAACAAAGCACTGACACTCTTCTTTTACCTTCCTTTAAAGTGAGTAAACAACACAGCACAACCTCAAGGAACACCATTCATACACCATTGTTGATGCAAGGGAATGTATTGACAAGACCCTCCTCCTCAACAAATTTATCAATAACTCATTGAAATGTTGCTACTTCATTAGTTATTCCAAATAGAATTTGACTATATTGATAAAGGTATCCATTAGCTTTGAATGCTGTAAATAATTTGCCATCTTCATGTAATGGCAACAAGTAATATGCACCCTTCAAGTTGAAGTTAGAGAAAACAAGATAAGTAACAAATTTGTTTACAAGTGTTTCAATTTTGATGAGTGTGTATGCACTCAGTATGTATATTGACAGTGTTAAAATAATCCACACACACGTTTTTATGACAGTAAAGCTTGTCCTTCACTATTACTATTTGTGCTCACCATGGAGATGAACTTGGTTCTATGATCCGTTTTTTAACAAATGGTCAATTTCTTGAGCAATAAATTGCATATTGGCCATGATATATGCACTGGATTTTGTTGCATTTCATTGTGCTCATTTCAGATTAGCACCTCCAAACTTGAGACTGCCAAAATACAAATTTTGTTCCATTTATTTTTAATTCTGGTTCAGTCTCAACATGTAAAAAAAAATGACTGATTTTGGAAGTTCAGACAGAGAAGTATATCTTCACATAGATTTTCTACTAGTCCCAAATAAGTATTTGGCTATTCTTTATCATTAATAGTAATATTAACATGACACATGCCCTGAATTTGTACACATTTAGAAGATGCAGTTAACATAATATAATCGTTACATGGCTTAATCTTTAAGTCTCAGAGCTAATTTGTAGTTCATGCAGCTACCAGAACTGGCAGAATCAATTAATGCTGGAATAGAGTAATCATTTGTCAAGACAGGAACTGTAGAAAATGATGGAGACAATGTGGGGTGGTGGTCAGAACAGTGTATTGGTCATTGCAGTTAACAGGAGCTGTAGCTTTCCAGTTTTTGTTTGGAAATTTAGAATGACACTGCAGCCTATGGCTGAAAAACCAGTACATTCTCTTCAACACTGTTGTGGTAGCATTTACAGGGTTAGAGTCAAGGTTTGAATTATCCTCTGGGCATACAACAGCCCTT